AATTTTTTTGAAATTTCTGGTCGTCTTGGTCTCGTATTCTGCCTGTTAATCTATCTAGCTCGGCATAGTTGATCATTTTGACCTGCCAGTCACTTATGTTAGGAATAGTTTCTATTTTCCAGTTTTGTGCCAGCATAATTCTTGCGGCTGTGGTGGCATAGAGAAATATTTTTTTATCTTCATTTTTATTTCCTTACCCATTATTCCCAGCAAAAAGGCCTCAGGTCTCTTGGGAAAAGTGTATTTAAAAACTTTTTAAGTTCATTATAAATTGCTTCCCAAAAACCTTCACCTTGCTGCATTGCCACCACATATGGTAGAGGTCTCCCTCCCCTTCACCACATTTCCAGCATGTCTTATTTTCTGATCTATAGATTTTAGCCAATTTTGCCGGCGTAAGATACCATCTATAGAGCATTTTCCAAACATTTTCTCTCAAACTCGTACAGGCCGTAAATTTAATGTCTCTATTCCACAATTTCAACCACTTTTCAAACTCGATGTTATAACCGAAGTCAATTGCCCATTTAATCATTGCCTCTTTGACTTCCTCGTCTTTTGTATGCCATTCCAGTAATATGTCATATAATTTAGACAATGTTTTGTTTTTGCCTTCTATTATTTCTATATTGAATTTTGATTTCTTGTCCTCAAAGCCCATTTTTCTTTTATCTTGTTTTAACATATCATTCACCTGATGATATTGTAACCAGCCGGTGAATTGATCCTTTATTTCCTCATACGGTTTAAGTTTAAGCCCTTGTTCTGATTTTCTTAGCAAATCTTCGTAGGTGGCTGTCTTCCCTTCCATGTTGGTTTTTTTATTGTTAAGACCTCTACTGGTGAAATCCACCATGGTGTTTTTCTTTCGAGAAGGTTCTTATTTCTTTCCCAGACCTGATATATTGGTCCCCTGAAAATATGGTTTAAGAAAGCCCTGTGGACTTTCACCTTCTCGTACCAGAGATATGCGTGCCACCCATACCGGTTATTGAAACCTTCTAAATCCAGTAGGTCTCTGTTCTCCAATTTTATCCAATCTTTTAACCAAAGTAGGCACGCTGCTTCATAATATAGGCTCAAATCTGGGAGGGCAAAACCTCCTCTTTCCTTTTTATCAATTAGTATTTTCATTTTAATCCTTGGTCTTTTCCCCTGCCAGATGAATTTCATCAGGGTTCTCTGCCATTCTTTACATTGTTTTAGACCTTTAATAACTGGAAGAGTTTGAAATAAAAACAACATCCTCGGCAAAACATTCATTTTAACCACTGCTATCTTCCCTAAATAGGAAAATTTCATCCTCCCCCATATTTCCAGATCTTTCTTTATTTTTTTCCATGTAACTTCATAATTATCTTTATATAGGTTTATGTTTTTTGCCGTAATCCACACTCCCAAATATTTCACTTTTCATTAACCATTTCTGTCCCAGTTTTTTTTTTTTAATGCTTTGCAGTCGTTGTATAGTTTACCTTTAAGGCAATTGAATGACTCATCTGTGCCGTCCCTATGCCTTCTTATTGATGTAGAACCATAAATAAGATGGCTCAGGGAAGGCCACCCAGCAAATGCATATCCAAACTGGAATTAAGCCTTAAACTTGACATTTGTCATAGTCTACCCTTGCAGTTGCTTTATTTTGAAAGGGGCCAAATCAAATCTGGACAATGGCAGGAAGGGAGGGGAGCTATAATAATTGTACCCATGGGAGTCTCGATTGAAATCTCCCCTTCCATGCCTGCTGTTTGCAATGGGAGGAACACCCCCAATGGTGTCTGTGGGAGCTTTCCACCACTGCCTCCTGATCTAAAGGGCCACACAGTGGCAGCTGGTGGATCCCAGCAGCAAATTCTCTACCTGGGAATTTCTGTAATGTACCATATCCGTCCAAGGAACACAGCAGACTGAATGCAACATGCCCTACTTGTGGGTTCCATCTAGGCCTCTGGTTGCCCATTGTGAGAACAGGACACTGAAGTAGGTAGGCCTTTGGGCCTCTTCTCACATTCTTCTGTTTTAGCTTCTATCTGTCTGTCCAATTCATCAACAAAGGTGGTTCATAATCTGGAACTTTTGGGCTTAGCATAGCATTGTAGGGCCTTCAGTGACATTAGACAGCTAGAAAACTTTCCTGGGGTGAGGCGGCTTGATTGTCATGTGCTGAAACTGAATCTACAGTCTGTGCATCCATGAACAAGCACTTGCTCTGCCGTCCTTCAAGAGGTGCACCCCTAAATTTTCAGTTAATGCAATGCCCATTTCTAGTCTCTGAGAGTGGAGAGACTGCACAGGCAGCACCTTGGAAATGCAACAGGTTAAGCAGTTTAGCCTTGGTTACGGCTTAGCTTTTTAATTATAGCAAACCCCAAGTTGCACAACCCTCCTCCTTAACAATTCACCTTTTGATTTGACCCTGAGGGTCACACCAAGATGGCTCAATCTGACGGTGGGTCAATCCATGGGCTCAGCCCTCGCTGCCTTGCTGTTTGGAACCCTGCTTGCTTCAGCACATTGCTCAAGCCCACTTCCCCCCTTGGGTTCCAAAGAATAGTGCCACTGTATTCTGCTCTGGTCAGACCTCACCTGGAGTACTGTGTCCAGTTCTGGGCACCACAGTTCAAGAAGGACATTGACAAACTGGAACGTGTCCAGAGGAGGGCAACCAAAATGGTCAAAGGCCTGGAAACGATGCCTTATGAGGAACGGCTAAGGGAGCTGGGCATGTTTAGCCTGGAGAAGAGGAGGTTAAGGGGTGATATGATAGCCATGTTCAAATATATAAAAGGATGTCACATAGAGGAGGGAGAAAGGTTGTTTTCTGCTGCTCCAGAGAAGCGGACACGGAGCAATGGATCCAAACTACAAGAAAGAAGATTCCACCTAAACATTAGGAAGAATTTCCTGACAGTAAGAGCTGTTCGACAGTGGAATTTGCTGCCAAGGAGTGTGGTGGAGTCTCCTTCTTTGGAGGTCTTTAAGCAGAGGCTTGACAACCATATGTCAGGAGTGCTCTGATGGTGTTTCCTGCTTGGCAGGGGGTTGGACTCGATGGCCCTTGTGGTCTCTTCCAACTCTATGATTCTATGATTCTATGATTCTATGAATTCGCAAAGGGATACTTGGCTCCACCCAGCTGTCCCTGTACCATTCAGGAGAGGCAGCGGAGCGGATTTCTCACCAGGACTGAGTCAGCGAAAGCAGTCAGAGGCCGTGAGCCAAAGGGTTGGGGCTAGTCCAAGTTTAGTAAGGTGCAGCCAACTGCGTCCGTATTTGCCACTCGCAGGAACTGCCACCCACGCAGGCACTGAGGGCATGTTGCCACAATGTGGGAGTCCAGCCCACTCGTGTGATCCTGACCCTGCAGCACGTGCTGCTTATCAGAATATTCCTGATCCCAGTCCAAGAACGCCCACTCTCCCCAGTGTTCCAGGCAGGTGTTGCTAAAGCAACCTCCAGCCTTCCTGTAAACTGCATCGAATCCAGCTTCAGCATATTTTGCTAGTGCCACCTCCTGGTGCTTTCTCCTTCTGGCCTCACCTTTCTGCGGGATGCACACAGTTGGTTTGGGTTTTGATGCAGTTAAATGTAGCTTTTTTTTTGCAACACTTCCACATCACCCAGTAACAAAAGTTCTCTGGGCAGTTACAGTAAAGGAGGTGTAGGAAACCTGGATCTCTCCAGATGTTGCTGGACTACAATTCCCATCATCCCTAACCCTTGGTCATGCTGGCTGTGGCTCGTGGGGTCAATTGATGGCATCTGAAGGGGTGCAGGCTAGGCACCTCTGCAGTAAAGGTAAGAACCGTAAAACGCAAAGAATAATGAAAATCTAAGATTCTTTTTAAAAAAACAAATACCTTGTAAAACAAACCAGAATAGAACCAGCAAAGAAAATTAACAGTAGTTTAGAAATTCTAAGAAAAAATTAAAACTGTTTTATTTATAATGAAATTTATATCCTGCTCTTTCTTCAAGAGGAGCCCAGGGTACTTGGTGCCATGAAGTCTACAACAGTAGTCTTCTGTTGCCGTTTTTCCTGTTAGCATGCATGCATGGTGGGTCTGCTAAGCTGCTTTCCCAGAAGGAATTCTTACATGATGACTGTCTGAGAGCAACAAAGCATTTCCAAAACCTGTATATGATGGGGAAAAACATGCCACTCCTTCTAAGGAAGTCAGGAGAATCTTCTGAACACCCAGATAAGAGGCAGAGAGGTTAGATCTGGCTCCAAATCTTTCTAATGTTGCCTGTTTCACCCGACTGTGATCTTGGATACAAAAGGAAGCATTTACCAGTGGCTGTGGCATCTTGGATACCAAAACAGAAGACAACACCCCCAGCTTCGTTCCTAACAACTGCAAATGACATTTGGATCACCTGTAGATGATGCATTAGAAGAGCTGTCTGTGTTTTTGTCTGTGTGCATGTGTGTGTGTGTGTGTGTGTGTGTGTGTGTGTGTCTGCCCACCCTGTTCCATCTAGGTCTTGGGCCCCAAAGGCAACTAAAAACTAAGGTAGCTGAGGTTAATACCATTTCTTAAACTAACATCACATAACTGGCCAGAGCGTTTGCTATAAGTTACCATTTATTCTGCAGAACAGAGGTATCTTTCATCGACTTAACACATCAGTATCATGAGGCACACCTAAATCTCCAGCAGCAGCTTATATGCACACAAAGTACCTCTCCTGCCAGACATCTGAGTTATCTTCTCCGCAACAGAGCAACTGTCTGTAATACTGGAGGTACAGGAGAGGTTGGTCACAACCCTCTCTAATGCCCACAAGGTTTCACAGTGGAAGGGACCTTTAGAAAAGGGACGTGTTAACATGCCCTGACAAGTTGATGAGAAACAAATGCTATGAGCGACCAGTCCCAGCATTGACCTCATCCCTTAATGGCAGAAGGTGGGCTTTCAGGCGGTGAACTGTTCCTGCCTTGCCAGGCTCCATTTCCCCCCACCTGACAGGGGTTCGGAGGGATTGGTCTCGGCGCATTATTGCACAGTAAGTGCTCCCTGCTCACTGTGGTCCATGTTCCAGAGGCGGTAGAATTCTGCAAAGTCCACGTAGGGCTCCACACGCCCATCTTCATCCGGCTGGAGGGAGTGGGAAGGGCGAGAACGGAAGAGGCCCCCATCTGAGCTGGAGCTACTACTCTGGGTGTGAGTGTTGGTAGACTGGAGGGTCACTGTTGGGCTTTGACTGCAGGGAGGGAAAGAGAAAGAGAAGCAACCTTCAGTCAGCACAAATGACACAGCAAATGCAACCTAAGGCCTCTCCCCTCAACTCTGGGGAATCTGCAGCCCTCCAGATGATGTTGGACTACAACTCCCATCATCCCTGATCTTTAGCCATGCTGGCTGGAGCTGATGGGAGTTGCAGTCCGACATCATGGGGAGGGCCCAGGTTGACTGTCACAGAGCATCACAGACAATCCCGGTTGCCTGATGTGAGCACCTGTATCAGTACACAAACCTGCAAAATGCAGGCTTGAGGCACCCACTGGAAACGTCTTTAAGTGTGAAGAGGGCATTAAAAATGTAAATGCATATACAGTCTATTAATAAAAGCCTCTCATCTTGCACCTCTGTGTAACACAGAGAAGTTTCTCCTTTCTTATCCAAGCCACTTCTGCTTTTTTATAATGATGAAGAGGAACTTTCAGCAAATACTGCTAATAGATTTGATTTTTCATTCTACAACTATACAGGGTGGGTCCTTTTTTTTTTTTTGCATGCTCATATTTTTGTCCCTATCCCTGAACAGCCAAAGGAGGCAACACTTAAGATCAGCCAAGAGCAGTACCATCGCTCTATTTTTCTGGGCAACAACCAGGCAACCCTCTCTTTCTCTGGGAAGCAGCTAAAAGGCAGCAGCTTGTTCTTAGCTGAGCTCTGTCCGATATGAATGACCTGGTTATGTTTTCAAGGGGGAGGGACAGAACACTCTTGTTCATCATCTAAAGAGGGTTTCTGAGATTAGGCCATTGGACCACAGATTGCCTGCCCCTATCATACGGGTTTAAAAGTGAAACGGCTAGTAGGCCTCCACTGCTAGGCCTAAGAAGCAGCTAACAGAGGAAGTGGAATGTTGCCTCCAGCAAAAAGGAGGGCAAAAGGACAGCTGGTCTGAGCAAGGGGCACTTACTTTGTGAGGGTGGGCGTGGCTTCATCCAACGTGGAGCTACTGTGGGCGCCATTGACCATCTGACCCTGGGATGGCATGACAAGGGATAGCGTAACGCTGGTCTTGCTTGTATTCTGGGCACTGGAGTACGGCACCGACACCGGATAAACTCGACCTCCTGAACATGCAGAATAAAACATTGTAAGCACTAGGAAGGCCAAGATTCTCAGAAAACCCCATACCTCTGTCCCTCTACAAGTGGGAAGAATTTCCTGGGACACCATGGGCAAAGATCACTCTCCAAGACAAGGATGATGAATCTTTTCTGACTCATTAATGCTCAGTCATCCCCAAGGGCCACATGCAAATAAAGAGCACGGCCAATGTACCCAGGCATCCATACACACACACACACACACACACACACACACACACACACAGTGAGAGAGACTACAAATACAGCACCCACAAGCTCACCATAAATGCAGGCACACCTGTCTGCCTGTCTATCTGTCACACACACAGTTGGGCAGAACAGTTTTGATCTGCCTTGCGCCCTCTCCCATACAAGCACACTGAGCTCCCCCATACCTTGCGTCGGAGTCAGTGTGGGCTGGCTCATCTCACCCAGCGGGTACCCAAAATTCCTCACCAGCAGCGACATGTCCTCATGCCGAGCACAGAACTTGGACCGTTCCCCACCACTGGCGTATGTGTCACAGTGAATGCGCTTCACTCGATCCACGACTGCTTGAGCCACGGAATCCAGTGAGCTTTGTTTGGCAAACTCTGTGGCAATCATGGCTGCAATCTCCTAGAAAGAGAAAGAGTTGTCAGGGGTGGGGAAACTGGAGCTGCTGCTTCAGATATTCTCCCAGCCATGTACAGAAGCAGGCCCTGCGCAGCTGGGCTAATGTTTAAAGAACCCAACCTCCCGGTTGACTGGGGCAGATGTCAGCCACGGAAGTGGCATCTTACCAGGTGGAGCAAGTCTGTGCTGACTGATTCCATGGGAAAGAACCATGCAATGTGGCCCTGCCCATGCGCATGGGCCCTTCAAACATTCTCACAGAAGCTGCTTGGAAGCTTCTGATGGATAAGCATCTCCTAAACAGCTGGGAGAACATCTGAAGGGCACCCAAGTAATCAGCCTTAGGGGAAAGGCTGCAACACGTCACCCTCTAGGGTGCCTTTGTTCGACTACTTGAAAGATGCATTGTGTTTAAACGGTGAAGGCATTCATTGCATTCCTACAGGAGGCTTTCACGTCCACCCTTGTGGGTTGCAACTTTTACATTTGCTTATTTGGGGGGAGGTTAAAGCAGCATTAAATAAATACTACCTTCTCTTGTCTCCTCCGTTCCCTGTCCTGCAACTGGAAGTGGAGGAAAGGAGAAGCCTGCAGTTTTTTATGGTGGACTTAAATGTAAGGATAAGAACGGAAGATCAGGTGTTGGATCAGGCCAAAAGCCCAGAATTCTCAAGGTGGCCAATCAGATGCCTACGGGAAGTCCAAAACGTTCTCCCCACCTGTGATTTCCAGCAACTGGCATCCAGAGGCATCCAGCCTCCAACTGTGGGGGCAGAACGTAGCCTCTGTGGCTAGTAGTTATTGACAGCCTTATCTTCCTCCATAAATTTGTCTAAACCTCTTTGAAGCCTTCCAAGTTGGTGTCTGTCACTGACTCCTATAGGAGGGAATCCCATAGTTCAGCTATTGAATCAATGTTCAATAGATGCAGCAGGCAGACCAGAACCTACTCCTTATTCCTCCCTGGCAGAGCCACTGGTTGGGCAGCAGGGATGGAAAGTAGAGGGAACATTTTCTGCAGGAACATGATTTCACTTCCCTGAAAAAGTTGTCCCTAGGAATCCTCTTCACCTCTCTGGCCTTCTCCTGCACAACGGATTTTATGTACTTATAACTATTAGCCTTGCTCATCTCTGTCGCCTAGGGCTACCCAGAGGGGACTATGAGCCCAGAGAGCAAAAACACTCTGGGGCAAATTTGAAATCTAATAATGGGTGCATCTATGTACGCTGTGCAGACAGAGTCAACCTGAAGACCTGCACAGGATTCCAAGGTCAATTTAAAGCTGCCCTGGCACTCTTACCTGATTGGCTTGCCCAGGTCCATGAGCTGCTTCCAGAGCTTTGTAGAGCCCTTCTGACATCAGAACCAAAAAGCCCGTGACTCCATCGAGTGGGTGCCCTCCGTGGATTTCAGGCTCTGCTATGATTGGCTTAGATTTCGCAGCACTGCAAAGGGAGAAGAACTAAGTTAGTACTGGACAGAGCGTCAGAGACAGCTATGTCTTCAAAAGCAAAGACAGGAAAGGAAAGTAAGACCAAGTATTGGGTCTTGCCTCACCTCAGCAGTTCAATATCACTATAGCCATATTTGACTTTATAATCCCCGATGCGCCGGGTACTCTCCTGCCCGCATATGGTTCCTACTTGTTTTATTTTTGCTGCATCCAAACCTGCAGATAAAGAATCAGCTCACTGACTTCAGGGCAGATCCAAAATGTGTCCTATAGTTACATTCCAAGGCAAGAAGAGGAAGCCCACTTCACCCCCAGCTAAACAGGCATTTTGACTGAACAAAAAGCAGATGAACAAGGGAAGACAGAATAAACTCAACTAAGGAATGGAGGACAGCGAGGAGCTTTTCATCTGTAATATATTCACACAAGAAAGGAAGTCTGCACATGCATTCAGAAGTGGTCAGGGTGCTTTGATGCAGCCTGAGATCTTTTACACTTGGTGAAAACAGAATTAGACAGCCAGCCAGATGAATCCCCACTGCACTCAACTCTACTTGTGTCACAGCTCTTCCTTGGAAGAAAGAATCTCAGTTTCTTTAATAGGCACTGGACTCATAACTGAACTCGCTATGAGAATGATTCAGTATCAACCACCATCTTGGCTTAAGCTTTCTTTGGGAATACAGTGCAGGATGAGTTACCCTCAGTCCACAGGTAGATTTCATGTAAAAGTAATAATAATTATATAATTTTATTTTCCTACACCCATGTCAACAGAGGATTACATGTCCTGCATCTGACAAAGTGGAATCTAGTTCATGAAAGCTTATGCTATTAAAAACTCGTTAGTTTTTAAGGTGCCAGAAGAGTCTGCTGCAGTGCTGGCTCTAGGTTTGGGAGGGAACATGGGCAAGACAGCCCGCCCCCCCCGCCCCTGTTACAGTGAGTTTTGCAAATCATCACCAGTTATCACCAGCTGCTGCTGCAGAAAGCCAATAAGCAGGCAAGAAAGCAGTAGCATTCACAGCTCCACTAGAGTGTGATGCAGGTGTGCAAGTTGGCTGCAGTGGTGAAGAGAAGAAAGTTTGGAGGGCTCTCCTTAACGAGCCCCTACTGCATTATGGGCCTCAACAGGATTTCAGTTTGGACAAGGATTCCAACAGAGCTGGTCTCATAACTGTTTGGTGAAAAAACTGGTGCAGGTGGCCAAGTATTTTGAAGAGTAAAAAACTTGATTAGGGCAGCGAGTAAGCCACTGTCCTATTTTGAAGCATGCACCAATTATTAGCAGCTCGCCCTCTAGGGGGCAGTTAATGCGCAACAACCCATAACTGTTGCTACAGTGGATAAGGCATGGGAGGGGTTTTGTTTTTTTTGCAATCAATGCTTGTGGGCAACAATACATACCACTCAGCTCAGCATGAAAGCCAGGGTGGTTTGGAGAGCCTGCGCTAAAGAGGTTAAGTTACTCAAAAGCCACAGTTTGGGGCCCTCTTTGTGTCAGAGGTAGAGATGGAGTCAGTGGGCTGTTGCAAGTAAAAAATGGGGTGGGAACTGTTGGTAAAAGCATTGGCTGTTTAATTTGTACAGATTTTTTGTTTGTTTTTACCTAGAAAGTTAGTTAAATTGGAAATATTAACATTTGTTGCTGTAGTTTTGCTTGTTTATCTTACAACAGAATTGTTTAGTTGCTGATTACATCTATTTATATAATTTTGAAACTTTTGTATATTGTTTGTCAGTTTTTATTTTTATTATTTGTTCTCCGACTCAATTCCCCACCCAGATTCAGTATGAGGAAAAAGTAAGAAAGCTACCTCATCCCTCAGTTATTGATCATTTCTGATATCCAGCATCTATTCCCTGTTATGGGGAAGAGGAGGCATTAACACTGTAACTTGGTCATTTAAACACTCCTGTGTTTGGTAAACACAAAAGCCACCAATGATAGTGATGTGCCACAGAGGTGGGGAAATAACCACAAAAGTCTCCTCTCTGGCAGCCTTTTCTCTATTGCACGGTTGCAATGGAACTATTGCATGGAACCCATAGCCCATGGCACCAACCATCTTCGTTGACCCTTGACCACACTGGCTGCGAATGATGCAAGTTCTGGCCCAATAACACCTGGAGGGCCACAGCTAAAGCCACCCCTGCTCTGTTGGCTCACCAAGGCCCATCCTCTCCCAGACTTACTTCTCTGCTGCTCCAGGAACGCAACACTCACCCAGCTGTGAAAAGCGGAAGAGCTCATCGTCATTCTCTGTGGTGTGGTCCATGTTGAGTTGTGTCACTTGCAACCCGTCTACTGTAGATTTGCACAAGAGTGCCCTGTTTGTTCCTGTGGAGAAGGAGTGCATTTTGCAAAGGTGGAAAGGGGGACAAGTGAGGCACCTGAGGAAATACATACGCTTATTAAGTGCAACCCAGTACTACCCCTATCCAGCAAAACCTGGAAGCAGTGCTTGTCAATGCCAACATCTCATCTCTCCTGCTTTCCCGGTTGTATTTACCCAGGCAACTAGGTTTAGTGGCTCTGTAAGGATGTCAGTGAAGCATTACTCTTGTACAAAGAGGATAAAGTAACCCAACTGCAACTGCTCTAACTCTTCATCCTTCAGTGCTGTGACCAGGAAGTGCCCAAATAAAAAACGGCATTGAAGAGGAACACACCTACATTGGCGATGTAGAGCTTGTTGTTGAGGATGACTGCCACAATAGCCATGGCCCCTCCAGAGATCTCCTTTTCTACAGCCTTCAGCCGTTCCATGATTTTCTGGTACTGGGAAGGCAGCTGGTGATGGGGCACCCCCTAGAATACAGGGTTGTGGAAGCCTGTGTAAAAATTTATCAGTGCAGCATTTCTGAAGCCTTCTCTAGACATACCCAAAACATTTGATCCCACTTTTTGCACACCTCCACCCAGGTGTATAGATACCTGCCAGCTTCAGGCATCTGGTGAACCGGGCACTAGTCTACAAAAGCTGGTCTCATAACAAATGCAGTAGCCTTTAAGGGACTACAGGAGTCTGTCATTTTCACATTAAAACAGCTGTACAGTGTCATGACAGGCTCTAGGCAGATTACTCTTAAACAGGCATTGGCAAACTGCGGCCCTCCAGATGTTTGGGACTACAATTCCCATCACCCCTGACCACTGGTTCTGTTAGCTAGGGATGATGGGAATTGTAGTCCCAAACATCTGGAGGGCCGGAGTTTGTCTATGCCTGCTCTTAAATAATACAGAACGTATTTCATTCAACATAGATCAGCCACTCCTTAAAATACTTTCATCAGGGTTGTGAAAGGATTTTTTTCTCGCCATACAGGCACGCTTTATAGGTGAAGTGGGGACTGAAATTCACTTTAGTGATTTTGAAACCAGGAAACCAAAGGAGTGGTATCCCTTCTGTATTATTCAGCGAGCAGTACAAGGATGCAGTTTAGTGCCTATTGTGCAAAATGAACAGATGAGGTCACTGCACTGACTGTTTCCCACCCCAGACTGCAGGAGCCACATCAACTCTGGCAGGTCCCAATTTTAACCTCTCTGCCATTAAGTGTTTCTGAGACCACCACCAATTCTTCAAAAAGCACCAATGAAGGTGGGAGTTTGAAACATCAAATGCTGCAAACGGGAGTAAGCCTGTTTTGCTGCCACCTGCCTCCCAACACACACTTTCAAATTCGTTCAGCAGGCTCCAAGGTCCTTCCAAGAAGAAAATGCACTGTTACTGCTTCCTGAATTCAATGATGTTTCCTTAAGGCTAGGAAGAGAAGTTACCTCTGGCAGCTGGGACTGGAGGCTGGCCTTCTCTGCTAGTGCATCATCAATGGACTCCAGGAAACTCCTTTCCACCACATCAAAAGCCTGAGGAGGCCCAGAAGGTAGGCAACACAAAATTATGTATTAGAACAGAAGCTTTGAACTGCTAACTACACAGAATCTCCCAAACTTATTTCTCCCTGCATAAAACATCAAAACTTTGCATGTTTTACAAACCACTCAGGAGCTTTTAATTACAACAACAAGTACCAATTTATGACTGATTTTTTCCAAAGAAAAAACTCCATTACCTGCAGCAGTATTCTGCGCACATCAGCATCATCATGGTCTGCATTCAGCTGGCCCAACAGGAGCTCTGCGGAGAGTCTTTCTCCCACAAAATTGGTGATCCGGTTGCCATCATAACCATTGAAGACCCCATAGAGGTAGCAGTCATTTTCACTCCTGCCAAAGAGGGTCAGGTTGGGAAGGGACGATTAAAGGCATGGCATTCAGCCTGTGGTTTGGGAGTAAAAACCTGGCCCACAGGTCATTCAATAAATTAGCAGTTTCTAATGTGATGCCCTGCAGGTGTTGCAGAAATACACCTCTCATCATCATTGCCAAATTGGTCATACTAACTGGGGCTGATGGGAGTTTGGCCTCCCCTACAAAAAAATATTACTGGGTTAAAGTGGGCTTGTTGAATGAATGCCATTATTTCTGTTGCCCTGCTCCACCCAAATCTACAGGCTGCTTACCTGAATTTCAGCCAGTTATCCTCTAAGGGGTGAATTTCTGTCCCCTTTCCATCTGTGGTATAGGAACGGTTAGGAGCTGAACCCACACCGGAGAGCTGGCAAAGAGGCAAGTCATCTGTCCAACTTGGTTGCTGCTCCTGAATAACAGAGTAAGAAAGAAGCCCCAATGAACTTCTTCCAGCAAAAGCCACAAGGATAATGACTATACATCAGCTGAAGAGTTAGCCTCCCAATTAGGGTGCTACTTTAAGATAGCTGACAAACTCTTATTGAGTCCCCTTTCCCACTTGCAGCTGATCCCTTTGTTGCCTTTCTTTTTTATTTAGTTATATACTTTATTTTACCTGCCCACACTTCTCCTCCTGCTGCTTCTTTGCTAACCCAGCTTCCTTGTCCTCCTTCACTCATACCTCTTCCCACAAATTAAGCACACACAAAATTCATCTAGCATTAGGTTCCAAAAGATACGTGAAACATATTTCAGATACACAGCTGGTTCTTCATAGCAAAGCCAGATACGTTTGATGCATTTTAATGACTGTAACTAGAGAAGTAAAGCTTTCTTGCCACATAGATGCTTCTCTGCGCATAATTCGGATTATTTTGGTACATATTTCTGAACACTTTCCTTGTGCCTTCTAAACAGCTGCCTTTCAGGACGCCACAACTCTTGTTTACAGAGCAGTGGGGATGTAAACCAGCTCTCTCTGCAAGGGGAAAGGGTAACATTCCTTTCCCAGTACAGCAGGGGTGGGGAACCTTTGGCCCTCCAGATATTGCTGAACGACATCTCCCTTCAACCCTGACCAGCACAGCCAATAGTCAAGGCTTATGGGAGCTGTAGTTCAGCAACATCTGGAGGGCCAAAGGTCCCCCACCCCCGCAGTAGGGAACTTGTACCATCCCTCTGTACTTATACATGGCCTGCGGAAGAAGTGACATCAATCTGTCCTTCTACAGAACTATGGGAGTATAAGGGGTCATTCAGATATCAGTTTCCGCAGAAGCATCATACGAAGAATTTTGTACAAGAGGTACCTGTTTTGCATGGGTTTGGAGCTACTGTCACTGATTTTGCACAACCATTACTCTCACTACATACTAATCTTTTTAGTACCTTTGGACCAGCAGTGATTGGGATAAAAAGGTAAAGGTAAAGGTACCCCTGCCCGTACGGGCCAGTCGTGTCCGACTCTAGGGTTGCATGCTCATCTCGCTCAAGAGGCCGGGAGCCAGCGCTGTCCGAAGACACTTCCGGGTCACGTGGCTAGCGTGACGAAGCTGCTCTGGTGAGCCAGCACCAGCGCTGCACACGGAAACGCCGTTTACCTTCCCACTATAAAGCGGTACCTATTTATCTACTTGCACTTAGGGGTGCTTTCAAACTGCTAGGTGGGCAGGAGCTGGGACCGAACGACAGGAGCTCACCCCGCCATGGGGATTCGAACCGCCGACCTTGCGATCAGCAAGTCCTAGGCACTGAGGTTTTACCCACAGCACCACCCGCATCCCCAAGTGATTGGGATGCGGTGGCCCAATTTCCTGCTCGCATGTGGATATTTGGCATGTCATTATGCTGGTCATCCATGGAAAGACTATGATTTGCTGAGGAAAGCCAACATCTGAAAAAGGTCTGCACACCCCACTAAATGAACACATCCCACCTTGTACTGTGGCTCGCCAGGGATTTGAGAAACACTGTTTTCCAAGGCCCGCTAAATCCAAAAGATCTAGCCATGAGACTCACAAACTGCTTGCCAAGGTACATGTCAGTCTTCTATCTAGCAAGCTAATGAATGTGTCCCTGCTTTCCTCCCTACATCTACTGGGAAGGGGGAAATCTCCTTAGTTGATTGGCTCTCCAAAGTCCAACTAAACCCTGTAGGGATGGCAGTGAACATAAATTTAGGATCCCTGATCTAGGTTCTGACAGATTGCCATACATAGCTGATGAATGCATTCAGTTTGGTGGGCCACACTGGGTTGGGTTGGAAACACCTGCACAATTCTCTCTGTACATTCAAGAGACACACAGTCGCACATACTTTTGCTTTAGGGTCAATATTTTAGCATTAATCCACAAATTTGAAAGAGGGGCTCTGAAAAGCTGGTACAAAGTTGGACAGGCACCAGTGCACAGATATGCTGGGGTACCCCATGCAGTCCTCAGGAACCCTACTGTGATCCTTTTCTGGAGTATAGACAGATGAGAAGTCACAGGCAAGGGGACTTGAGCAAAGCATATGGGAATGGTGAGGACCAGGAGTACTAAATAAGCACATCTTGTGGGCATCACCTTTGATTTCAATTCTTCTATTATGCCCTCCTTTCCCTACCACAAAAAAATTGAGGAAAGGAGGAGCTTATTCCCCTCAAAGAGACCACCTTCTGCTGAGCAAAACATCAGGAATTGAGGAAACCACCTCTCTGCTCTTCCCAGATACATATTGACAAATAATTACAACCACAGACTTCCTATCTGGGGACCATTAACTTCTGACTTACATCGGTGTTTTTCCCCTGACACACATCTCAAACCCCAGGCTGAGAAAAATTTCCCAGGGGCAGCTTTTCTCCATCACGGTATGGCAACTGGAGAAGCAGCAGCCTCTGAAGAAATTACTTCTTCCATGCAACTCAACAAACCCTTTAGGAGTTTGGCACTGGCATCCTTACACCCGTCCTACACTCTCTGCAGCTAGTGGTGCTAATGATGATGGTAGAGGGAACAGGAGAGGGACAGAGAACCTGTCCCCCTGCCTCGCCCATTTTGTGGAGACCACAGCTCCCATCATGGGCCATGCTGGCACTGGGGATGGAGGGGGTGATGGGAGTCCAACAACTTCCGGAGGGTCATAGTCTCCCATCCTTGGAGCTGGTTAACCAGAAGCAGAGGAGAGCAGAACTTATATCACCGTGTTGCAGAGAGTGACTGACAAGTGCAGCTTTTTTTCAATGCTCCCGTTGTGAGCTGCACCTGTCCCAAATACCTTCCCTTGATCTCGTTATTAAAGGCACAAGGCGCCCTGTTTTTCTTTGGCTCTGGCAGGAGAGCAACACGCCTCTTTCTTTGCACCTGGCCCTCCACAGGCTGGTGGACTCCAGCTCCCACCATACCTCTCTCCATGTGTCCCTGCTTTGGGATGGGAACTGGAGTCCCAAAACACCTGGAGGGCCACAGGCTCCCCATGCCTGCTTTGCACAGATACACGAACCCACCTCTCGCACCCTCCCTCTCTCGCTCCCAGGCTGCCACCCTCGCCTTGTGCTCCCAAGCCGCATCCTCGAGAGGGGAGCCCAGGGGCCCCGAACCCTCCCCTTGGCCCCGGAGAGCTCCCGCCCATAGCGCCCCCCTAGAACAGGCTCGGCTGCTCACGCTCTGCAGGAGACTCCTCCTCGCCGCCGCCATCTTTACGCAGAAGCAACATCAACCTCCGCCCTTCCCCTGGCAAGGGAGAGGAGGAGCAAGCGAGAGGAAGCGGCGAGAGCGTCCGTCGGGTGGACAGGAAGCGTAGCGTCGCGCCTTTAAAAAACAAAACACAAAAAAACCCGGCCACAGCGCCCCCAGGAGGACGGAGGGAGGCATCGCAGGCGACTGACTCTCCCATCTTCTTCCCTGCTTGCTGGAAGTTGTTCTGTGTCAGGTCAAAAAATGAAATTGCAGGCATTCCAGGGGACGCGGCGGGTGGGTTGTACGCGTATTCCGGACAGAACATAAGAGGGACCCTGCTGGATCGGACCAAAGGGCCCCCTAGCTGAGCATCCTATTTCCCACCCTGGCCAAACAGGCGCCTCTTGGGAAGCCAGGACGTGAGCTCCATATCCGCATCCTGCTGCTCCTCCCCAGCGGCTAGTATTCCAAAGGGAGGCATCTGTGATCCTGGAGGTGGCAGAAAGACCGCCGTTGAATAGCAACAACCACTTCTCCAAGCCGTTCTTGGAAGGGGGTGGGCTAGGGGGCAGAGAGGCTCTCGATGGTGATGGAAGGGTGCAGTGGGCAGCAATGTGCCAGTTGCCTTTGGCATCTTAATTACACACACACACACACACCCGAAAACAAAGAAAGTTGCCTTATAACGAATCAGACCACTGGCTCAGTGTGCAGTGACTGGTTGTGACCCTGAACGTAGCAAAGGCATAATCTTGAATCTTTTGCATGCACTGAGCTGTTGTGGCTGTACAAGTCTGTCCCATACTTGTGGTGGACGTCATCAGTGGTGAAGTGACAGGCTGTGCTGTAGCTCCGCCTATGCACCATCAATATGTGTGGCACTACTGCAGAGTGTCCCTGCCCTGAGGAGCTTACAATCTTAACATTTGATACAGGAGGAAGATGGAAGCAGAGGAAGAATATAAGCTTATTTCGATGATGGATAATTAGACTTGACAACAGAATCCGTAGGGCATGGGAGCTCTCTCTCTCTCTCTCTGTGTGTGTCTCATGGTCTTCATGGAAAAAGGTAGGTTTAAGGAGCAGACAGTGGTGACACAGGCAGGTGATCTAAGAGGCAGTTCCAGCCATACACAATGAACTCAGAAGCATCCAGTACAATGAAGCCTGGAATTGAGAATTTGTTCTTGTGCAAACCCATGGTTCATATAAAGTTTATTGCACTCAGCTACTTCACTTGGGTTATATAAGTGTCACCTACTGGGAGATCAAAAAGTTTTGAGCTGGCGAAGCCTACGCTACTCTGAAGCTACCATGGTTACCTGTGTCCTATGCAGCATGACCCTAAGCTGGTGTACTCAGAACCAAGCCCTACTGATGTAAATAGGGCTTACTGCTAAGCAACTGTAGAGAGGGAGATTATATAAAATAAATACCTAAATAAATAAACTTATTGCCTGCCCTTCAATATTAAAAACAGTTAGAACAAATTAGTCACAGGAATAAGGTGGGTTCAGAAAACACACATCAAAGGCCAGCGTAAAGACATGTTACCTCAGCATTCCCTGAAAGCTGTGCAGTGAAGGCACCAGAAGCACCTCTGTGGGGAGCAAACAGGGGTTGCCACAGAGAACGATGCCCTTTCCTGGGCCACCACTTTCTGAACTTCTGGGGGTAGTGGATCTACCAAGTGGGCCCCTTCCACTGATTTTAACACCTGAAGGCAATGCACAGAAGGAGGCCGTCTCTCAGATATTTGGGGCCTGAATCATTTAGCATGAGCACCATGAATTATGCCTGGAAACAGCCAGCCAGCAGTCAGAAACAAACGGGCAGAAGTGTGGCCTGATCTTTTGCATGCTTATTCAAACTCCCACCAAGTTCAATGTAGCTAATTCCCAAAATAGGTATGTACAGGACATCTTAATGTCACTGCTAGCGGCATTAATCAGCAGCAACCATAGGCTATATGGGAAGACTACTCATTACATAGCCTTAACTCATGGCTAATTTTTAGAAAGGGGTAGGTGGCACAAATCTGTTTATACCAGCCGAGTATGAGTTGTTGGGCAGATCAACACTCTATATTTAAAGCATATTCAACACACATTTAAAGCTTGTGACTTCCTCCAAAGAATTCTGGGAACTGAAGTTCCCCCTCACAGACCTACCATTTCCAGCACCCTTAACAAACTAGAGTGTCCAGGATTCTTGGGAGGAAATAATATGCTTTAAATATGCTTTAAATGTATAGTGTGAATCTGCTCCAGAGTTAAGAGAAATCCACTTTGCACGTACTCAGAGGGTCACTTTTCAATACTTCCTCCTGTTCCAGACCTAACCAAGTCTTTCCTTCAGCAGCTGTTAAAGTGGGTACATAAGTATTTGATACTGCTCAACTTCGTATGCACTTGTCTTCCACTGAGTCAGATCATCAGTCAAGGGAGCCCACATGGTGCTGTCCAGATGTTATTGGACTTCAACTCCCACCAGCCCCTTTCTGCATGACCAATGGTTAGGGATGATGGGGGTTGGAGTCCAATGTCATCTGGAGGAAACCATATTGACTAACCCAATGCTGTCTACTTATGCTAAGAATGGCTCTCTGAGAGCAAGTTCTTCACTGGACAAGCTCTTTCAATGGGAAATCCAGTGGCAAGAATTAAGAAACTCCCAGCTCCCTTAACAAACTATAGTTTCCAAGAATGTGGGGGTGGGCAGTGGAAACACAACCGTTACAAGTGGTGAACCAGTGCTTTAATTATATGGTGCAGATGTGTGGAAAAACACACTGTACAAGGTTTTCAAATGCAGATATAAATGATCAATGTAACGTTTAAACCCAGGGGGAAGAAATCGTAACACCACCATTACAATTGTTTTTGAATGTAATAACTTTATTGATAAGACACACCAGTAGTTACCACCTTCACTTTTTTTAACCACAAATATACAGGACGTCGTAAACACAGGTGCCAGGGTTTATGTTAGTTGAGGGAGACATACTGGAGGAAAAAATGGGCCAGTTGGGGTAGGGCTTGTAGTTCACCAGACGTTTTGTAGATCCTGTATGGAGCAGGCCACCCTTTCATTGTCACATATGTATGCATATACATATGCATAGTTTTATATTATACATATATAATATATATACTATACAGAGGCAGTAATGCTGTAGATGAGGGCTGTAGAGACCCCACGATGTTATCAAATGCCCCAGGAGCAACGAGAATGTCAGAACAAGTCTTTGTGTGCGTCGCATGAGGCAAAATGAACTGAGGTCTATGATTTCGTATTTTCAAATATGTTCCAGTTTAGATCCCTAAGACCAGACTGCCTGTCTAGGCATATGAGGTTCTGCCCACGTGTATGTGAAGCTATGGGGGACTGGCAGCATCAAATAGCGAGTCTCTCTTCCATTATTCCCAAGATGTGTGAGAAGTGAATGAAGTAAGTTCATATGCCTACCTGGAGCTAAAAGGAGACCTTATTTTTGCTGCATTGGCTAAGGAACTGGAATGACACCGAGCTGGTTTGCACTCTTGGATATTGGTGCATCAGAAGGTCCTCTATCTAGAGATGGGTGTGTGGGGCACATACAAGACTACAGTAGACACACAGAACTTCCAACTCATCAACCAGTAAAACACAGATCTCAAGCCAGTAGGTTCAATAAACACTCTTGGTTTTGATGCCCGCTTGGGACCCAAAACACCTGAAGGGCGCACTACCGGGCTGGTGGTGGGCCATATTTGGATTGGTGGGTCAGAAGTTGGACGGCCCTGGTTGACAGTACTGTTTTGACAGGGAGATGTCTCATGTGCTTAACAATATTTCTCTCTGTGTGCATGGCTTACATTCCATGAGTCTGAGTAACTCAAAGCTGTAGGTTGCAGTCACACTACAGAAGCATCATGCAGCACAATGAGAATGGGTTTTTAATAACATCAATTTAGAACTGCTTCACATTTGACTCAGCAGATTATGTCAAGAGTTTCCCATGGGAAACACAAAGTGTGAAAGGCAGGTATGTGTTGGTAACACACACACACACACACACACACGGGGATGTATCAGGAAGCAACACTTGATCCCAGCTCCCTGCATGTCCGCTATGTGCAAGTGATGCTCATTGGTCCTTCACACTTGACGTGTTGACTGAGGGAAAGACTGGTATAATTCAGTTGCTCTATAAACTATGAAATGGTTTGCAGTAATCATATATGGCAAATATTTATGTGCAACACAGTGCTAGACTGTAGCTTCACAGGATACAAAGGTATTCCAGCAGCATAATCAAATACCAATCGCTGGAGTGCAATTTCTGGGTTTCCAGAATTATCTCCTCAGATGCATGGAATGCCTGGCCCACTGAAGGATGCCCAGACGGGCTTGCACAGCATGATAACCAGTATCGTCACACACATTTTCTGGCTATATGGACACTCTTTGTGCAATTAAAACTGCTGTGAACACACCCAAAACAATTGTTCTTGCACCAATCAGATAAAACAGAAAATATACCAACAAATACTAACTGGGAACCATCAAAGAGCAAGGAGAAAAGGCCAAGATGGGCCATTGGCCAGGACAGGAGTAGAACCTAGTTTTCTTTCCATGTGAAAGTTTTATCACACATGGTAACAACAATTCTACAGGTGTGCCAGCGCTAACTGCAATCCATGGCCTTACATGCTTTCTTCTTGGACTGGGACCCCCTGAACTTGACATGTTCCACCAGAGTTATGTGCAGGGTATTCTCGTAGTTTTGTGAGTGTGTTGTGCATAACCAGGAAAAGCATTTCTGTTTGGTCTTAGGAATCTATCCATATGTGACAGGGAAGGAGATGTAAAAACAATCCCCATTGCACAAGTTAGGATTCAGTTTTTACGTATGTAGTTTAACACAGTCTTGGCCTATTCCCCAAGGCAAAACCCATTTATAAATCTGCTAACGGAACAGATGTTGAAAAATGGACCATCCACCCCCACGTGAAAAGCATGCAATGGACTCCCATAAAACTTTGCTGCAACACTGGGTTCCTCCCCCCTCCCTACCCTCCAATCCCATGTTTCTCTCTTTCCCTCCAGGGGGAGAGTGAAGAAAAGACCTCTCCTTGACCACAGTTATAAAGAAACCCACTCAGTAAAATACCCACCCACCCGCAAGCCTAAATATTAGGCCATCCCAATAGAAGAGGAACTCTGGGATGGAGAACATTTTCCCCTCCCTCAAGCCCTGTACAATATTGCTTTCTCTTGGGACCATAAAGCGAGAGACTTTGTTCCTCTTTGTGCTTTATGAATAACAGGCTATTATACCCCTTGTCTCACTCCCTGCCGGCTTCTAGCCACACACAGTATTTAGTGGATCTCTAGAAAGGAGGTACCAACAGGGGATCTAGAGGCAATTCCACACACCCACACTCACACCAACATGCAAACCACACACCAGAGGAAGACCCATTGTCACTACACTGGCTCCTTCCCATTGCATCCCTTGAGAGAGGTCCCATGTCTTCTCAATTTAAATAACAACATGCTATTTAAAGGAAGGCTTCTCTCTTGATCCCACAGCTGTGTCTTTTTCAGTTATCTTTTTCCTAGCTGGGTCCTGGCAAAGTGAAACAGTGGCCAAATGACATCTACTCCAAACACTGTTCCTCGCTTACATTTTTTAAAAATGTATGGCAGCCTTTTCCAACTTGGTATCCTTCAGGTATTTTGGATTACAACTCCCATCAGCTGCAGCCAGCACTGCGTCGAAAACACCTGGAGGGCAGCAGCTTAGAGACTCGACTACAAATTGGTCAAACCAACCTATTCCTGTCATGTTGGCAAGGCCAACTACACATACGTTAAATACCAAGATTGTGGGAGCTTCATAAAATACAGGTGACTGCATGTGATGCTTTCAGCAATGGGAAGACCCAAAGCAGGCTTCTCTTTACATAGGAGAAGGACTATGTAGTATTGGAACTAGTGTGGCATATTCAGGTGAGCACTGATTCTTCATTCTGGGCTCAGAACTATGCACTCCCTGCATTCCTGACAGGTAGTGCTCTGTTCCTGATCTCTACATTGTAATGCTACAATCAAAATGTTCTTCAGGCCTGTTGTGTGCCTTCCTCTAGGATATATTTCTTACCAGTCAATTGCAAAACTGTTTTCTTTAGACTGGCTCTGGGAAAATGCTTGCCACTGGGGCATGATGATGCAACTAGAAGCAGGCAGGCATTTCTACAAATGGATGATTAATAAGTGAGGAACTAGTTGGTGTTTGCTAATTATGTTCCACAGATGATTTTATGCAGCCACTGTGGCTCTGAGCACATATAAAACATTCTTTTAACAAGATTGCCTACTTCTTGTTGCATTAATATACTCCACTGGCAAGCAATCACCCAGAGCAGACTAAACAAAACCAGGGCCCATGTAGTGCCATGGTTTGTGATGTTCTGGTGTAGAAATCCATAGATTTCCTAACTATATAGTCCTTAGCTCACTAAGTCTTCCAGCTGACCAGCAAGGAAATTATCTCCTGGGATGTTGAAAGCATGAAACTCTTAAGGTAACATGCCTGAACTAGAGCCACATGAACCGAGTGCCAGCTATCAGGAACCAAGAGATTAAGATTCAGAAGGCAGCAGAGAGTCTAGAACAAACAAATGCCACCACCCTACTCACTCTGGGTCACTTTTCACATTGTATTTCCCTATTTGTGTGAAAACACAAATGGCCAAGACAGCTTTTTTCATTTTCTTTTCTGGTAATGCTGAAAGGATCAGATACATAGAAAGAGCTATGGGAGGTTTTTCTACCAAATGTTTTAATGCAATGCTATCTACAGATTGAATGATTATTCATCTGATCAGGAATAACAAGAAGCGAATGGGAGAGCTTGTAACTATTTCCAATAGATTAATTTGAAATAAGAGAGTGCTGCGATGTCAATATGCTTCCACAGATGCTTTTAGAAGCAAGGGGTGTGTTCTCTTTGCAGCTCTCTCAACCATTTATTGAATGCTTAGCTCATGAAGGGGTAACGGAAGATGAGCATAACACAGGGCAGGCACTTTCACTTATCTCACCCAATCTAGAATATTCAGGCTCTAGTTTACTAACACAACCGTCTTTTCTCCCAGCGTGGCAATGTGTTCACCAAATGGAAACTCTGGTTTCATTCTTCTTGAGCACAAAGATAGCAGGGCTGACAGATGGTCTGCTCAGCCCTGGAGCTAAATTGGCTTCCCTCTTAATTCCAGGAAAGCTAGGGAATTTGTCCAGTGGACAAATTTGCCACTTGGCAAAGGCTGCCATGGTTGTAAGCTTGAATAGCCCAGTGTCCATGCAAGCCAGTCCCATAAATTCTTTCTCTTCCATGATGTTGTTCATTTCAAGGATTGCAGTCACAGAGGGTACTTCTACATGACAAGTTAACATGTAGTAAAGTAGCCTTCCCCAGACTAGAGTCCTCTGCATGTTTTGGAATATCCATCATTGCTGATCTTTGGCTATGTCGGCTAGAGATGTTGGGAGGTGTAGCTCGTAACATCTGGAAGGCTCCAGGTTGGGGAAGACCCTACAGTAAATAATTTCTGCTTTACTACACTGCACACCAAGTAAATTATAGAATCATAGAGTTGGAAGGGACCCTGAGGATCATCTAGTCCAATGCAGCTGACCATGACATCTTAACATGGTCCTGTGTTAACTGATGCTTTACATGTGGTCTGCAGGGAGGTTCTGATACACCTCTTTTTAGAAGTTCATTATTACGTGTATGTGCAAAAACACCTTTAGGATGTAATCCAATAGACACATTTTTTCAAAAGTAAGCCTCCCTGAATTGACTGAGGCTTATTTCCAAGTAAACGTGTATTGGATCAAGCTGTAGGTGTGGCTTATTCTCCCCGATACTTTGTACAGAAGGACAAATTTCATATAAATCGAGAGCAAAAATCAGCTTTGGAAGCAGGGAGCTTTCTAATGAGCTACAACAAAGCTATAGTAATTTTGCTCAACAGAAGCTTGATTTACAACACGGTGAAGATGGGTTAATATTTTCCGGAAATTTTGGCACATTGAACCATTTCTGCCAGTGCTCTGATGTGTCCAGATTACAAATAATCTAAGCCTTTTTGCCAAGATCTTCCAAACCATTGTAGGTAGCTATTTTCCCAATTGAACTTTGCTCTGCACTATGTAAGCCTATGGCAATCTCTTCCATGTAATCGCCTCTGCCCTGGATTTGGGATCCTACTTCAGTCTAGTCCAACCCTGTGTTGAGTCATAAATGAGACACAGCTGGAGTAACATTTAAAACTGCGTGTTCCTTTAAAACTTCATGTTCCTGTGGATTTTGGTTGTGCCGGAAAAATTTCCTTGCAGACTTCCTTGCAGGTTCTCAACACTTTTCCTCCATTAAAAAAAAAACCAAAAGCAAATTATTTCAGTTCATCAGACCATGTGTTAACTTGACATGGAATGGGTAGGGAATTATATTCCTCTCCTGGGAAGAAAGAGCTGCCTCATACCCAAAACAAATGCTCACAGCCACTTTGTACTTTTTCAACTGGGATTAACTTTGACCTGCACTTTGCTCTTAGCGATGCAGTCGCATGATACCTCTGCCACAGGCTCAGACTGCAGTTGGGTGCTCCCAATGGTTTCTCCAAAAATGCAAGCTGAGCGAGCACCCAAGCACAATACGTGCTTGTTATGAAAGCTTTACATAGCCAGTTAGAAAAAACAAGTACTCCTATCGGGGTCAAAATGTTTGTGAAATTTAGCGAAGCGAGTATCCTTTTTTAGCTCAATACTGTCAACTCTGGCAAGGAATGGATGTGAATCTTTGAAATTTCAGGTAAAGGGCAAATCACAGTCCTATTTGATATCACTGATACCACACAAAGCTTACACATCACTCGCCCTTGCATGCCTGCATGCTCACTCACTCTCCCAGGTCTGCCTACCCGTCTAAGTCCTGTTCTCTCTTCTCACTACTCACACACAGACATGTCAACCTCGGATACTACCTCAGCCAGTCATTCCCCCCCCCCCTGCCCTGCAGCCATGCTTCCCCCACCCCATCCCCCCCTACAGAAAAGGGTGAATTCCTGCCCTTGGCAGTTTCTCCTACAAAGAGAGGGCGACATTGCGCTGCAGAATGGACCGTAAAACACTTTGCAATCAACAATTTGGTTTGGGTGGCAAATTCAGAAGTGGGGAAGAGGTGTCAGGGCTGTTGCTTCTCCCCACCCACCCTGTTTTTTTAAAAAAACAAGAAATAAAAACAGAGACCCCAGAAGGCTGGAGAGCGGCCAAGAGCCCCCTCTGACTCTGATGCACCTGTGTCTTGTTTTGCACCTTGGCTTGTTGGTGGCAGAGGGGAGCGGGCAGAGGGGGAGGGAGGGGGGAGGGCTCCACCGGCTCTCAGTAGTCCTGGGCTTGGTACCCCTGTGCCTCAGCATCAAATGCATCTGCCGAAGGGGCCTGTTGGTACGTCCCCATGCTATCTATAGTGTCATCCTCGTTTGTGTAGGGAGCGTAAGGCATGCCAGCCTCCTGGCTCGGGTCCGTGTAGTCCTGGGAGAAGAGGGCTGAGTCGGCGCCAAGCTGGTATCGCTGGAATGCCAGGAACGACTGGCCCACCTTTAAGAGAGGATGTGGCAGTGCGGGAGAGGTTTCCGGAAGGGAAAGAGCATTTGGTGGGGGCGGGGGAGGGGAGAGAAAGGGAAGCATACCGAGGAGAAACAAACAGAAGCCGGATTAGTAGTGGTTAGTGCACAAGACATTAACTTAGCGCATGAGACATACTGTAATTAACAAGTTAAAACGCAAATACATCCTACAGCAAGAAGAAGATTTGGCACACTCTAGAGAGAGTACAAGTTCAGGAAAGAAGCCACAGAGAGAGAGCAACTGGGGAGAGGAACTCATTTCAGTGGGAGATGATTTGGCAGAAGGCTTGCTTCCACAACCTGTTGTATGTATCTCGCTGTCGTCATGAAAAAGTCTGGCAGAAGCAAGGCAGCACTAATGTGGGTGCTCCAATTCACCACACGGAAGGCGGCACCTCTTTCTGGGATTGGATGTGCTTGTTTAGTGCACACAAGGCCTCTACGAAGCCTAGGTTTGTTGAGGGCTTCAGCCCAGGCCAATTTCCTGCTCATTAAAGGGGGTGGCAGAATCAGTGCAGGGCTGGGTAGCCAGTTTGGCAGCATCAGCATGGGAACGGCAGCAGTGGCTTGGGGGGAAAGATATCTGACTTTTCCAAGGACTTGCCCTGGGTGACTACGGATTAGGGATCGGAGGAAGACTGACATTTTACACACGCACACACAACCGCACGGCCATTCAAGGCAGCTGTGCAGAGGCCCGGCTCCATCACTAAACCTTCGTTTGTGCAATGCTGTTTGGCAAAACAAAGAGTGTGGGAGGTGCAGGGATTGTGGCTCTTCAGCTGCCCTCTGACACAGGTCACATCTGCACCACAGGTTTAAAGCACGCTTGCTCCACTTTAACAGCCATGGAGAATCCTGGGAACTGTAGTCTGCTAAGGATGCTAGAAATTGTAGGTCTGTGAGGTCAGAGCCCTTGGTAAACCACAACTCCCAGGATCCTCTAGGGGAAGTCATGACAGCTAAGGTGGTATAGGAGTGCTTTAAATGCTTGGTGTGGATGTGACATAGTCAGCTTGGAGATTGTGCCCGGAGAAGAGAGAGCCAAGAGGACATGAGGAGAAACAGAAGTTTGATTTCAGCAGTGACCCATCATGGTTAAACATATTAAGACAGGACTGAGGCAGAGAGAAAGGCACATGGTTGTTATTTGGCATTAGTTATTTGGGGAGAAGGCACAGCAGAGAAGGCACAAAAGAGGGAACCCTGAACAGTACGCAGGTGTACTTTGAACTATTTAAGAGGTAGGGGATAGGTGAAGCCCTCCACAATTCCAAGGGGTGCTGGTGGTCAATCTCTCTCCCCCCCTCTCTCCTCACCCCATCAGCTGCACAAATTGCGTATCTTTTATTCCTCTTTCTCTCTTATCTTCCTTCCTGCCCCTGAGACTGAAAGTCAGAAATACTTTCACTCCAAAATTTCCTCCCCGATATGCCTATTTTTAATGGGGACTGGGATTAGGGGAGCACTGGCGGAGAGCTAGGGAACAGTGTGTTGTATTCTTCCTGAAAAGTAATTTCTCCGAGTCTCCGAAAGGCCAGAAAGGTCAGGATGCCCTGTAGGGAGAGAACAGGAAGGAAGAGGTGGGTGGGCGTGAGAGAAAAGAGCTGGTGAAGGAACATAAGCAAGGCCCTGGAACTGAAATAAGGAGTCCGGTGGAACAAAAGGGGAAAGGTGTCTAAGGTCTCTTTGGCAGAGGGGAAGGGCTGGGATGCCACTGGAGGGCCTCCTTTCGCTCTTGGCATTATCCATATAGTTGTCAAGGGCAACCAACCCCCTCCCTTCATCCAGAGGCAGCTCACCTGGTAGGGAGCAGTCACTATGCTAGTTTCCTGTCAGGTGGGCTGCTGCCTGGAGGTCTGTGTGGCACAAATCCAGCAGGCTCATCTCATGTTCTGATGACCTCCCTGCCATAGTTACTTGAGGCACCTGGTGTGCAGTTTCTGGCTACATCTTTTCTTTGGGTTTCCTATGTGGTTGTGGACTGTTAGGTTTCAAAGAGATGTGGGCAACTAAATGTATGGCCGGTGAAAGTGCCCAACGTTTGTTTGTTTTTCTGGCCAGTGATTATTTTGGCTTGTAAGGTGACTTCCTAGTTGGTGGAGCTGGAGCCTGAAATGAGGGAACTGCATTGCATCTAGTAAGACTGGAGGTGGAGACAACAGGGTTGTCTGCGAATGACATCCATAGCTTGCTAGCCAGTTCTGGGCCTGTGTCACTCACCCAGGTGAAGACGGAAAAGAGAGAGAACGTGATGGCTGCTCGGGCGGCATCTGCTCCTTCGTTGAATGGGTTGTTTTCTTTCTTTGAAACACGCCATTGGTCGGCCAGGAAACAAAAACTGACAAACCAGAGGAAGGCCCACAAGCCTGTGAAAAACCACCATCAAAAGAAGAAGGAGGACAAGGTTTAAGTGAGTTTGAAGGTGTTGCATTCCCCCAGCCAACAAATACCCTACAGCAGGCTTTGCCAACCAGGTGCCCTCCAGAAGGCTTGGACTACCACTCCCATCAGCTGAATGTGAGTTGTAGTCCAAAGAATCTGGGGGGCATCTTGTTGAGGAAGGCTGCCCTACAAATCTATTTCGCATACTGGGACCAAGTCCAATTGAGTAGCCTTATGCAAGAGCATCTGATATGGAACTGCAGGTTAAAAGGCAAAATTATCACCTTCTCAGTCTCATGGTTCCCTCATAACATTTAGGCCCCAACTTCCCTATACATCTAAAGCAGCATCATATCACTTTAAGCAGATGTGGCTCCCCTTACCCCAAAGAATACTGGGAAGTGTAGTTTGTTAAGGGAACTGAGAGTCGTGAGGAAACCCCCAGTCCCCGCATAGAGGTACAATTCCCAGAGTTCCTTGGGAAGAGGGAGTGACTGTTAAACCACCACAGAGTAGAGGCGGGGTATAAATGTAATAATAAATGAAAGAAGTAAGGAAGTGACATCCTCTGGAGCAGAGGTCAGCAAATTTTTTCAGCTGTGGGCCAGTCCACTGTCCCTCAGACCTTGTGGGGGGCCAGACTATATTTTTTTGGGGGGGGGGGGAATGAACGAATTCCTATGCCCCACAAATAACCTAGAGAGGCGTTTTAAATAAAAGCACACATTCTACTCATGTGAAAACACCAGGCAGGCCCCACAAATAACCCAGAGATGCATTTTAAATACTGTAAAAGGGCACATTCTACTCATGCAAAAACACACTGATCCCCAGACTGTCCACGGGCCAGATTTAGAAGGCAACTGGGCCGGATCCGGCCACCGGGCCTTAGTTTGCCTACCCATGCTCTGGAGTGATGAGGGAAAGCAGTTTCAGCAGCAGTGAACTCCCTGCACAGTGGATTTATCCAAAGGAATTGCCTGGCATTTTGTCCACTTCTCTCGGCTCCCTTTGCTTCCAGAAAAGAGAGCCTTATACCCAAGGAGACATCTATCCTTTTACTCCTGAGGATCCCTTGCCTGTAGTTGAGCACTTCTCCAGAAGAGACAGGGTTTAATCTGGCATTTGAGGCGCCACCTTTTCCTCAGGCTTGGGACCTGTTCAGCCTCAAAGTAGGCTGATCTCACCCTTGTGTATGGATGGCCCTTCCTTGGCCTATTTGCAGGATCCTGGCTCTTCATCACCAGATGACGCAGGGCTTCGTGGAAGGCTGTGTCCTCCTGCTCCTCCTCTAGCTGTGAGATATGTCACCCATTCCTTCTCTTTAAAAAAAAAATCCCCTTTGCTTACGGGACTGCTGGGCAAACTGCAAAGCACAGTGCAGGTGACACCCCAGCCACCTGCCATCTTTATTGCTTAAAAATTAACATGTGCATTATTTATTTATTGCAAATCTGGGTCAAGGGTCCAATGCACCATCCCCAGTCTTTAAGTACCTAGTAAGGCCAATGGGTCTGTCCACTTAATTCATCGGGCATCAAAAAAAGAAGCCTCAATTACTCATTTATTCTTGAAATGCAGCATCTCTGCAGAACTGAGCCATACAATTAAACATTGTATTTGGAAGCTGAAGGATGAACAGCTCCAAAATCAACTGCAGCAGAACTCCAGACTGCAGACACAGCTACTGGACTCTTGCCAAAAGCCCAGGACTTGCTTGTTTGTTTTAAAGGAGAAAATGTGTCATTGAATCTTTTCATACTTTTGAATGGTCCCTGGTATGACCTGGTTGCTGGGCTTTATACCCAGAAGAGTTGTACATGCACTAGGAATGCATAGAAAAGCAACACCAGGAAGCAGTAAGTAAGAAAGAAAACCACTCTAGAAATATAGAAACAGAGCCTTGTGTATGATGAGACAGACAATGGGCTGGACTTGCTAGCCTGCTTGATTTCAGTGGATCTACTCTACGTATTACTAAGTCTAGCTCCAAACCAATGTGTTTTTCAAAGCACTGAAGGCAGTTTAGAAGAGCGGTGGCTGCCTCACTCCCACGTCCTCCACTGGTAAACAGGTTTTGCAGGTTTTAGTATTTCAAAAGAAACATATAGGTACACCTTAAGACAAAAGAAACGTATAGGTACACCATTATAAGTGGAATCTCTGAAACCACTTTCAGCTTCCTTCCAAGCTATCTCTGTCTCCAGTCTTAAAGTAGAGACTACATAATAATAATAAAGCTCAGCATTCATATTGTTCTTGAGAACATATGAAGTACTGTAAGGGGTATCCAGCCAACTCACTCAGATTAAGACCAGTGAAATCAATATGGACTTGTTTAAAGTTCATAGCAGAGGCCTGATTTTAACTGGGAACTTCTTAATTCAGCCTCTTATTAGCTCACAAGCAAGTGTACTTACTTACTTACTTACTTCCAAGTAATGATGGCTAGGAGGATTGAGCTATTAAGTTTAAAATTTGCTTCCGTTTATTACCCTTCACTGTGTCCGAGTGCTCCTTACTAATATAGTCTCTTCCTGGCTGTATGCTGCCTAGCTGCACTAAGGAACTTGCTAAAGGGAAAGAAAACTGTCCCTGGATAAGCTTGCAAACTTAATTACAAGCAGAAAAATGAACCAGCACTGAGCCAATGTCCCTTTCACGCTGACGTCATTA